GTGGACTGCCCCAGAACTGCTCAGTGGGAACCCCTTGCCAACCACAGGCATGCAAAAGGCTGATGTCTATAGCTTTGGGATCATCCTCCAGGAGATAGCACTTCGCAGTGGTCCTTTTTACTTGGAGGGTCTGGATCTCAGCCCCAAAGGTGAGAGTCAGTACACTACCCACTGCCTCTTCTGCCAAGAGGACCCTGTTCTTCATCCACACTTTTCTTTTCACTCTCAGAGATTGTCCAGAAGGTCCGAAATGGTCAGCGGCCATATTTTCGGCCAAGCATTGACCGGACCCAACTGAATGAAGAGCTAGTTTTGCTGATGGAGAGGTGTTGGGCCCAGGACCCAGCTGAGCGGCCTGACTTCGGACAGATTAAGGGCTTCATTCGCCGCTTTAACAAGTGAGAGGGCACTAGTAGGGGCAGGGGCTCCCCTGGGATGGAAACCATAGCAGATGAGGTGGGACTGGTGGGACCAGAGGGTGGAAGTCCTGTAAGTCTGGAGAATGTTGGCACAGGTGCCATATCCTGGCCTTCCCCCCAGGGAGGGTGGCACCAGCATACTGGACAACCTCCTGCTGCGCATGGAACAGTACGCCAATAACTTGGAGAAGCTGGTGGAAGAACGCACACAGGCCTACCTTGAGGAGAAACGCAAGGCTGAGGCTCTGCTCTACCAAATTCTACCCCAGTGAGACCTCTGTCCCCTTTCCTGGATTTTCCTTTGAGATTCTGCTCTGTTGCATTCTGCTGTCCAACCCTCAGTCCTGCTTTGTCACATCTTGCTAGAGCCTGCCTGGCTTTAGACTATGTGCTTTTATCCTGTCCTCCAGTGAGTGGTGCTGCCTTCCTTCTGGCTTCCCACGCCTTCTTCTTGGGACACTGCTCTACCATGGCCTTGCTTGTGCAAGTGTATGTTAAATGACCCAACGAGATACTTCGTGCCCATGTACCCGGATCCCCTGGCAGCTCCCCACCACTTGTATACCTACCTTGCGCTTGACTGCAATGTCTTCTTGGCCACTTTTCCTTAGAATAAACTTAGCTGTTACAGCTCATCTCTGCAGCAGCCACACACTCCTTTCCTTGCTCCCATTCCCACCCCCTTCCGTGGAGTCTGGCTCACACTGTGTCCTTGCTTACTAGTTCGGTGGCAGAGCAGTTAAAACGAGGAGAGACTGTTCAGGCAGAGGCCTTTGACAGTGTCACCATCTACTTCAGTGACATCGTTGGCTTCACAGCCTTGTCAGCAGAGAGCACCCCCATGCAGGTGAGAGCCATGGGGGAGAGGTAGAGGGGAGGGGTGGGATGGGGACCTGCAGGAACTTCGCTGATAATAGGGAAGATCAGTTTGTTCTAGAATTCCCAGATCTTTTTATGGCTTGTGGGTTAAGCATTCTTAGAGAGTTAAGCACAAGTCTCAGGGCCTCTGCTTTCTCATCCCTGTTAGGTGGTGACACTTCTTAATGACCTGTATACCTGCTTTGATGCCATAATTGACAACTTCGACGTCTACAAGGTGAGAGCTGGGGCTGCCTTCCTGCTG